AGACCATATTTTGGCTCTTGCTGTTGTTGATTGTTTTCAAGTTGAGCACAACTCATAGTGACCCTATGAAAAAAAGGCCTGAAAGTCCCTCTACAGCTATCGACATTTATCAAACTTAAGAGAGTTTCTGGAGGCAAGTTGTTTAGGGAGTGGATGCCACTCTGGCTTCCAAACCTGTCATAGAACGTTATTGGTTGAATCATCAGAGACGCATAGTGACCTTATGTACAGCAGCTCTGAACCCTTCCCTGTCCTGAGCCAGTCTCACAAATTCTGACAAAGCAACCCCCATCACCCCAGTTACTGTATCAATCCATCTCATCCAGGGTCTCCCTCTCCTGCACTGTTTGTCCTCCCTTCTGAGCATGATGTCCTTCTCCAAGGACCAATCTTTCCTGGCCATGTGCCCAAAGTCAGTGAGACAGAGCTCCAAAATCCTAGCCTCCAAGGAAAGACATAGTTTCACCCTCTCCAATGCAGAATCATTTGTTTTCTTGGCAGTCCATGGTTATGTTCAAGACTCTTCTCCATCAACACAACTCAAAGGCATCAATTTTTCTTTTGTCATCCTTAGTAATTGTCCAATTTTCTGAATCATAACAAGTACTTGAGAAAACCATGCCCTGGATTAGGTGCAGCTTTGTATCTAGACGGACACTGTTGCTCTTCAGCACGCTTGAGAGGTCCATGACAGCAGATTTTTCCCGTGATAGGTCTTGTGATTTCCTGACTGCTGGTATTAAGAGGGTTGACTGTGGATTCTAGCAAGCTGTAATTGCTAACAATTTCAATCTCTTTCCCCATATATTACAGTGCTGCCAATTGGCCCAACGGTGAGAATTTTTCTCTTCTTGATGTTGAGCTTCAACCCATATTGAAGACTATAGTCCCTGACCTTTTTTTGCAGCAAGTGCTTCAGATCTTCTTCAGTTTCAGCAAATAAGGCTGTGTCATCTGCATATCGTAGGTTGCTAATGAGTCTCCCTCCAATCTTGATGCGACACTCCTCCTCATAAAACCCTGCTTCCTGAATGATCTGTTCTGCATACAGATTGAAAAGATACGGGGACAGGATATATCTCTGACACACTCCTTTCTTGATTTTGAACCATGCAGTGTTTCCTTGTTCTTTTCTGAGGATAGGCTTCTTGGTTCAAGTATAGGTTTTGTATAGGCATGATCAAAGGTTCTGAGATTCCCATTTTCCTCAAGGTTAGCCACAATTTACTGTGATCCACACAGTCAAATGCCTTTGCATACTCAATGAAACACAGATAGAAATTCTTCTGGTACTCTCTGCTTTCTGCCAAGATCCTTCTGACATTGGGAATAATGTCTCTAGTGCAATGTCTTCTAAACCCAGCCTGTATTTCTGGTAGTTCTCTGTCAATGTACTGGTCAAGTCCTTTCTGGATAATCTTCAACAGGATTATGCTAGTGTGTGATATTAGTGATATTGTATAACTTTCACACTCTGTCAGGTCACCTTTCATTGGAATGGGAATAAGTATGGATCTCTTCCACTCAGTTGGCCAAGCAGCTGTCTTCCAAATTGGTTGGCACAACTTGGTGAGCACAGGCAGGGCAGCCAGCATCTGTTTGCTGAAACAAACAATTGGTATTCCATCAATTCCTATGTCTATATTTTTTGCTAGGTCCTTCAGAGCAGCCTGCACTTCCTCATTCATCACCACTGCCTTTTGCTCATATGTTGTTTCTTGAAATTCTTCCGTGTCAGCCAATTCTTTTTGGTACAATGTCTCTGTATAATCCTTCCATTTGCTTTTAATGCTTCTTGAATCATTCAATATTATGCCCATAGCATCCTTAAGCATTGCAATACGTGGCTTGAATTTATTCTTTAGTTCTTTCAGCTTAAGAAATGCTGAGTGGGTTCGGCGCTTTTGATTTTCTGACTCCAGCTTCTTTTACATTTCATGATAATATTTTCCCTTGTCTTTCTGAGCAGCCCTTTGAAATCTTCTATTCAGCTCCTTAACTTCTTGATTTCTTCCCTATTCTTTTTGGCTTCTCAGAGCTCTAGTGCAATATTCAGAGTCTCTTCTGACATCCATTTTGGTGTTTTAATTTAAAGTCTTAGTAATGACTTTGTGCATTCTTCATGAACAATATTCTTGTTATCTTCCAACAGCTTATCTGGTCTTTGTTCATTAATGTTCAAGGCCTCAAACCTATTCCTGAGTTGGTATTTAAATTCATGGGAGATAATCTCAAGGTCAAATTTTGATTCCTGTGGATATGATTTAACCATCTTTATTTTTAATTTGAACTCGTATATGAGCATTTCATGGTCTGTTCCACAATCAGCACCTGGCCTAATTTTTACCACTGATACTGAACTTCTCTAGCGATTCCTTCCTTCCACAGATGTAATCAATCTGATTCCTGTGCATCCCATCAGGTGAAATCCATGTGTACAGCCTGTGTTTATGTTTCTTATAAAAAGTATTTGCTATGAAGAAATCACAGGTTGGACAGAATTCTATCATTCTATCCCCAGCCACATTTCTGTCACCAAGTCCATATTTTCTGACAATTGATCCTTCTTTCTGATTCCCAACTTTTGCATCACAGTCACCCATTATTATTAAAGCATCTGGGCTACATGTTTGACTGACTTCTGATTGCAACATTTGCTAGAAACCATCTATTTCCTACTCTTTGGCTCTGGTTGTAAGTGCATAAATTTGAATGTTAATATTATTAACAGGTCTTCCTTGAATGCATATGGATATTATCCTGTCATTCACAATATTGTATTTCAAGATAAATCTAGAAGTGGCCTTCTAACTATGAAAGCAACCCCATTTTTCCCTCACCTTTTCATCTCAAGCATAAAGATTATATGATCTTGGGATTCGAAATGTCCCATGCCAATCCATCTCATTTCACTAATACCCAATATGTCAATATTTATACATTCCAATTCTTTCTTTACAATGTCCAGTTTTTTTACATTCATGCTCCTCACATTCCACGTACCGATTGTTAATTTCTTCTTACAACTGTTTCTCCTGTGTTTCCAAATATAAGGGTTCAACTTCAGTTGCCCTATCTGTTAGTCTACTCTACGTGTGCTCTGCTGTACATAGGGTTTTCAAAGGCCACTTATATTTCAGAAGTGGATGGCCAATCATTCTTCCTAGTCTGTCTTAATTTGGATGTTCACCATTAGAAGACTATCTGACAGACAAGTCTTTTAACCTAGCAGATGAAAGGCTCTTTCCTTACAGAAATAACCAATACATTAACTGCCCACACATCCCAAATATGTGTGACTTGTCTCTTCCCTTTCCCTGTTACCTACCCATTCCTTGCACACCTGGCTACCTGGTCAAACCCTCCCTTCCCCAGCCACCTATCAATATGAACAGCAGTCACTTCTGTGATACCTTGCACTACACACTGCTACTGGTTTCTTACACTGTTGTCCATCTCTTGTAGACTTGTTTTAATCTGAATTTGCAAATGATTAACTGATAGTATGCATGTTCCACAGGCAACTAACATCTGGATTTGTTCTGACTGATGACACTGAGCTTATCATACACTCACTCACTCTTTGCCATCAAGGAGCTGACCCTCCAGTGGGTTTTTAGGTCTCCTCCTGTAAAACTTATAGAAGAGTGCCCACATTTCTACTGACAAAGTGACTGCAGCAATGGACTTAAGCTCTGTGGAAATTGTGAGCAGAGTGCGGGATTGAGGAGGGCTGTGTTTTGTTGTACAGAGAATCACTACGCATCTGAGCTGACTTGACAGCATGCAGTAATATGTATTTTAAATTTTTTTCTTCCTAGTATATTAGAAATTCCTTATGTTTCTTAACTGAATGAATGAGTCTTAAGAATTTAGTTACTAATGTAAAGTAAGGTAGTATCATTAAATTAGGACTTGCTTTGATGCCTTTGAGAAAAGATGAGAATACTTTTCATTCTTCAGATGGCTTTCTGCTTTCTGTATCAAGGCATTTCGTTATTCCTTAGTAAGGAATTTACTAACATAAATCAAATTCACTGTCTGCAGGTAGAATCTGATTCATGGAGACCCTCCATCATGTCCAAAACTGTGAATCTTTATGCCAGGAAGCTCTTCATCTCAACAAAAGCAGGGGGATCTGAACTGCAGATGTTTTGGTTAGAAGAGTAACAAGTAATGCACTACACCACTCTACTATCAGGAGAGAAAAAGCAACACATGAATCAAAATAACAAGTGAGGTACTCTTTGAATAAGAGTGGAGACAAAAATTTAGCAGAAGTGAAATTATGAAATTATAAAATATGTAGATATAATTTTTAAGGATCTTCCTATTCGCCCTTGTTAACATGTATGATTGTATGATTCTCACATACAAATTTTAACTACTTAAGGAAAAATATGGTTACATTGTTTATCTACGAAGACATAATTTAGCTAAAGGAATGTGTCTGTCATTAATTACCTGGAAGGAAATTTTGTTTCCTAAATCTATGCTTAATCATAATAGCATGATTCATGGTCTATTTCAAAAATAAACCACTACATGGGACTTAAAGCATTACGGATTCTATTTTCTTTCAATGATTTATGAGGATAATAGAGATTAGAGCGAATAAGCTTTATGGTTGATGTTTATTTCCTAGAAATCTGGTGAATGTACCTGATAAATTAATCTTTCATGATGAAACCAGAATGAAAAACAAAAGGATTATAATAATGGCTTTCCTGTTTCATAAAATGCTCACTTGGTTGTGAAAGAAATGTATTAAAGTCCTGCAGCAAACAGAAATATAAAGCAATCCATTTATAGAGGCATTCTTCATAGAAATCATTTAGTAGATTTCAATTTGAAAAAAGCAGTGAGACACTAACAATTCTCCAATAAAAGGGGGAGAGTGGTAAATATTTTCTAGCAAACATTTAAACTACCACATTAAAGGATTACGATATTTAGCACAAGAATATAATTTAGAAGAGAGAGAGGAAAAATGATCCCACCTGAGAACTGAGAACACTCTTGCCATTTTGCCTATGGCTCTGATCTTGTTCCTGATCACCTCCTTCCGGGCTGCAGCTGTTGCTCCTATGGTTGAAGAAAGCCAGGCAGTCAGTGACTGTTAGCTCACTATAATAATTTCACAAATTTACATATATTTTGAATGTATTTGTACACATAAAAGGAACCTACTACCACAATGATTAAGAGTTTAGCCGTTAACCGAAAGGTCATGGATTCAATCTCAGAGGTTCTGAGGGGAAAAGAAGTGGTTGGCTGGTTGTCTGTAAAGACCACAATCCTGGAAACGATTTTGACAGTTCTATCCTGTCCTACAGTAGGAGTGCTATGAGTTGGAATCAACTGGGCATACAACTTGGAACATACATAAGCAGACGAGAGTAAATAATAACTAATTTGGTTTTGTTTTTGTTTTCTTAATGAGTTTTATTTGTAAGTCAAGTTTAAGAACCTATGATTTGATCTTCAATAGCTGGTGGCTTCTTCACATATCAATGAGCAACTTTTGAGATTTCCAAGGGGATTTGGGTAGAAAGCTAACTGAGTAGAGAGAAAAAGGCACTTTTCTTACTGTGTTTCCCTTTTTTTTCTGATTGTATAGAGTTAAATAACTGCAGAGGAAGCAGAGTTATGTAACTAACCAGGATCGTCTACTCATCTCCAGGTTTCATGGACAGAAAGTCCTTTAGGAAATATTATTTTCAAAAGTTTACTGTTGAAGTTATCAAACTAGGGAAGTTACTGACCATTCCTTGGGATTGCTGCTGTTGTTAAGTAACGTTGAGCTGACTATGACTCATAGTAATTCTATGAACAACCAAGTTTGCATTATTTAATGGTCATAAATACTTTGCTTTAGTATTTGATACTCCTCACCTTTCTGGTGATTTAGAGGAAAATGTGGAAAACAATTGAATTGTAGTTGATGCCAGGTAGTTTGCATTTTAGAACTTTAAAAAAAACAACAACTCGTGTGTATGTTAATAAACGGTGTCATTTACTATAGTACTCAAACAAAACAAAACATGAATCTGTATCAGCTATAGTTCTCAATAAGCATGCTTTCACATCAATTCTGACTTGTAGCAACCTCTTATGTGTCAGAGCAGAACCATAAGCTGCAGGGTAGAGTTCACTCTGACTGACCCTGTGAACGATCATCACCTCAAGGTGGATTGCACCCTTCAACCACTGGTTTGTACCCAAGCCAAAACCTTTGGCACCATTAAGAAACTCCACCATTACTATAAACAATTTTTAAAAAAAACATTATTTAAAAATGATTCTGAATAAAAAAATTAATAAATTCATTTTACTAATTTTTAAACTAAATTATGAAGGGATGTTTAGAGAAGTACAGAGCATCACCAAAGACTTTTCTTAAAAGTATGTAAATACTTAACAGATAAGGTATCCATTTTATAGATCATATAAAATTCTGTAGTAAGCATTAACACAGACATATTGTTCAATTCTACGTCACTAACAGAAATACAAGAGGGGAGATACTACTTCCAGACAGTACAAATGTTACAGTACAACAGTAGAGATGTTTCCGAGTGGGAAGCCTTAGTCAGATCATATGATTAAGGACTGCAATCTACAGGTGATAATTGGTATAAATGTGATCTTTCAATTTGTATAGAGAAGCAGCTTCCTATTGTTTTTGAAGTAAAGATTTCTGCTGTTTCCTTGGATATCTTTATAATGAATGTTATTTGAAATGTTCTTCATTCTTGATTAGGGTTAAGCAGTTAATTACTGTCTAATATTTATTTCCAGGAAAAAGAACACTTGCGAGCAACACTATCACAATTTCAAAATGGTTAGAAAAGCTCTCTGCTTTTTTCCTTCACATTACAAAAAATCCTACACTAGACCACTTTCTTCACTTGTGGTGGTATACCTTCGAGTCAGGACTGACTCACAACAGATCCTCCAGTGGGTCATGAGGTAAGATGGTGTGAGTATAGGATCCCTGCCTTAAGCTTCACCCTGAGTTTTCTACTGTATTTATTATAGATAACTCATAGTTAAGATTCATAAAGAAACTTTTCAATGAATCTTGACAGCAAATCTAAATGACAAAAAAGGCCAACTGAAAAGTGTTATTTTTCTGAACATGATTAATGATCAACTGCTACTAAAGGAGACACACAGACACAAACATAACCTTGTATGTTGTTGTTATGTATCACTGACTCAGAACTGACTCATAGATGACACCCCCCCCCCCACAAAGTAGCTTTTCAGAGGCTGTAAATCACACAGGAGGAGACTGTCCATCTCTCTGCAGCAGAGCAGCTGGCAGATTCAAGCCACATGCCTTTCTCCTGCCAGCGCAACTCTGTATCTCTAGGTCAACAATGTTGCCTAAGGTTGTATTACATATAAGTGTGTGAGTAGATGCATATTTATTTTGAAATGTGAGATGGCAAACTTTATCCCTAAGGTGGTATTTCTGTAATTTCTTTTTATGTAATATTTGCTCCATTATACACTTTCTGAAACAAAAGTTAATACAACTTACATAAAACCCTTCTTATCATGTACACCTATGTTTATTGCTATGTTATTCACAACAGCAAAGAGATGGAAGTAACCTGAGTGCCCATCAATAAGCAAACAGATTAAAAAAAAAGCAACTAAGGTACAGTCATACAAGGAAATATTATGCAGCATGGAAAAACAATGAACTTGTAAAACTATATAACACAGGGGACACTGAAGGACACTGTGCTGAGTGAAATTTCTCAGTCACAAAAGGACAAATACCACGTAATATCACTGTTATAAAATAGGACAGACGGGGGAGTTGAGGAGAGAATGGGAAAAGATAATGAATACAGGATTAGAACAGATGAGAAGAATTGCCATAAAGGAATATTTTGGACATTTTCTGTATGACAACAATCTGGGACAAGGGATGCACTGTGGAGTAGGCTGGGGAGGAATGGGGGTTGGGGGTAAGAAAATGTTCAATAATTAATAAAAAACACACAAAACCCCTTTTTTATCGAATAATTCTTTGGCCTCAAACATGATTAAAGTAATTATTGTAGATATTAGCTAATTTAGGGTAGAAATAAAAGGAAATAAAAAGACTAGGTGGATAAACTGAGGCCATTTTGTCCAGTTAAATGCTGCTTTCAGTAAAGTATTTTGCCATTATTACTCTAAATATAAGTAGTGCTACTGTATTCTTAAGTTCTGTGGCTTAGCGGTAAGGCATTGTGCTGCCAACTCAAAGATAAGTAGTTTGCTCCATGGGAGAAAGATGGACAATGTCCTCTCATGAAATTTAAAACCTCTAAAAACCCACCACAGGGTCAATTCAGCTTTGAGTTAGTTCAACTTGCCAGCAAAAACTCTATGTAATATTTCCCTGCTGGCTGAATTAAGCAATTAAAAGTTCAAGATGTAATACGAGTAATGATTCTGACCATCTCAGTGAACTACATGGCCAGATAAAAAAACCTGAATCTAGCAAATACTAGCAGTCCTCAGAACATGGAAACATGGTAGATCTCAAAATCGGAAAAGAAGTGCATCAGGGATGTGGCCTGTCTCCATACCTTTTCGGTCTGTACATCAAACAGATCATTCGAGAGGCTCAACCTTATGAGGACGAATGTGGCATCAGGACTGGAGGAAGACTCATCAACAACCTATGTTATGCAGATGACATTATCTTGCTTGCAGAAACTGAGGAGGATCTGAGGCATTTGCTACAGAAGGTCAAGGACTGCAGTCTTCAATACACATTGAAGCTCAACATCAAGAAAACAAAAATTCTCACTACTGAGCCAACTGGCAGCACAACAATAGATGAAGAGATTGAGGTTGTAAACAGTATCATCTTGCTTGGCTCCACAATTAACACCCTTGGCACTAGCAGTCAAGAAATTAAAAAATGAACAGTATTGACAAAGTCTGCTGTTAGGGACCTCTCCAAAGTGCGAAAGGGTAACAACAATGTTAGTCTAGGGATTAAGGTAGTCTAATGCAGGACATGGTCTTTGCAAATACCTGCTAACCATCTGAGAGCTGGATAATGACTAAGGATGACAGAGAATCAATGCCTCTGAGCTATGGTGCCGGAGAAGAGTACCGCACATACCATGGACTGCTAGAAAACAAACAGTTTTATACAGGAGAGTCAAACCAAGGTTCTCTTTGGAGGCAAGGATTTTGAAGGTCCACCTCACTTACACTGGACACATGGCCAGGGGGGACCAGTCCTTGGACAAGGACATCATACTTGGAAGGGTGGAGGTACAGCCCAGGAGAGGAAGACCCCTGATGAAATGGATTGATACAGTGACTGGGGTAACAGGGGTAGGTGTGTCAGAGTCAGTGAGACTGGCTCAGGATAGGAAAGCTATTGTACAACAACTTGGCACATAACAGCACCAATAACAAAAGATACAAAGATTGTAAAGTGTGGAAGAGCTCCAAAATTGGTTACAATATTTCTGAATACAACAAGAAAAGGAGCAAGAAGGAGGAAATTATGTAGTATATTTGATGTAACTGAGAAGGCGAATACAGAAAATTTCCCATAAAGGAGTTGTGTAAACCACAACCAAGGCAAAGTAAAATGAGAGATGAAGTTTAAAAAAAGAATAAAAGAGATATTAATTGTGCAGAACAGTACTGTGCAGAGCACAGGTAAGTGTGCTATGATGCTCAGGAAAATGCCTGAATACTAAAATATAAATAGAAAGTGAACCATTTGATGGAATAAGTACACCCCTCATTTTTCAGATTGAATTAATTCCTGGACACTATAAACTGCCTAATTTACACATAGTGATAGTCTAAGTGTGCTCTATTGTACATAGGGTTTTTGAGATGCTGGGCTGTACGAAGAGGAATGTGGCATCAGGACTGGTGGAAGAGTCATCAACAACCTGTGTTATGCAGATGACACAATGCTGCTTGCTGAAACTGAGGAGGACCTGAAGCACTTGCTGCAGAAGGTCAAGGACTGCAGCCTTCTATACAGATTGAAGCTCAACATCAAGAAAACAAAGACTCTCACCACTGGGCCAACTGGCAGCATC